AAATACTACTGTTGATCAAAATTATGAATGTTTGATTTGAATGAAGTCAGTTCGAAACAATTTCATTAAAAAATGCTCTATACTATATTTTAAGTTTATTGATATTATAGTAACAAATTATGTCGAAAAGACAGTTATGGGTGTGAGTTCGAACCATATCTGCACATACATGAACTTGAAATTTCGGAGATTAATTTTATGGAATTCATGCAATAAGTAGGGCCAACGGATCGACAGGAGCATTCATTTTAATCTATTAATGATTAACTCGAAATGATCTATTCTTTGAAATGTCTTAAACAACCTCGTCAAAAGTATATCATGTAATCCAGACTATAACTAAACACTTCAGAAGATAGAACTTCATATTGCCTATGATTTTAACAATCATGCTTATTTAACAATACTATTTGTTCATGCAACAGATAACATATATTTATTTTTGTGTCATACTAACGATTTCACATGATAATTAATTCCTTATTCCTATTATGTTTAGATTTAGTCATGTCTGCTTGGTGATTGTCTTATCAGCATAACGTACAACTTCATTGTTAGTTTTCGATGAAGTTTTGTTCTCTGAGCTATATGATTTGGTCGTGGAGCTTTCATCATTCTTCTGAACGATATCATCAGCACGAACTTCAGGTAGAAGTCGAAATCATCCACCTGAGTTACAAATCTTCTCAACTATTTCATTATTTGTATTATTTATTTTATAAATAGTAAAGAATAGTAAAGAACTGGTAACATTTTTGGTGACTTGTTCTAAAATCAACAAATAGACAAGACACTTAAATTTTTAATGATCAATAAATTTTATTACCATATTTTGAGAACTGTAATGTGTGAAATATATGAAGGACGCTTTTAATCCTCCGTATAAACTATAACTCTGTTTTCAGTTGTCTTCTATTAGATACACAATCACTCATCAATCACTATCGGTTTGACCTATAAGAAGTATTTTGCCAGCAATGGAAGTTTTTAAAGAAAACTGATCCTAAAAGCCAGTGGAGTTCAGAAAAGGATAAAAATATATCATGTTTTTACGATATAATGTGTCGTGACTTGTGCCTGATTAATATATGACGTGGTAAAATCACCAATCCATAATACTTGTACGACTTTAGCACTGTGTCGAACCAATGACGTATTGACGGGTAAGAGCAGCTTAGTGTCCTTATTGGTCCTTTTACTGCCTAGCCCTGCCTGTTAAGTCTAGAATGTCAGTACCAACTCCCATCATATGGATCATATATTTCAAACATACCTGGTTTATACACAAGCCAACCAGACCACATCATACCACAAATAAAAAATAACGAGTGTACAAGATCAAGCCAAAGAGTGACTGTGATAGTGAGAAAGCGTAATTAATAAACTAGGTAAAACTTAAGGATAGCAAGTCGTGAAATAATAGTCCATAAATCAAAATAAAGCTTATGATAAGCGGAATATAAATAAGCATAATCTGGTTATCCAATAATTATATAATGAAAATACATGTATAATATTAGTCCATTAATAGCTCTAAAAGTTACCTATAATTTAACCTCCGCTAGGATATAACATAGTAATAAGAATAAAAATAAATAATGCGATATTATTATCATCCACTAATCACCAGACAATACAATACACAACATACAATTATTTATAATTAAGATCATCTTCATTCAATTTCGTGTTCACTATTTTTTGAATGGAAATGAACTCAAATCCGATTCGCAATTTTGGCAGCCCACTTGGTGGCCAATCAGAATGAAGCGGGAATCATCATCTCAACCATCTTTGCAAGCAACGGCCATCGACTTGTCTACGTGTTTTCCCACTGGCTTTTTCGTGTCGCTGCAAAATTGAGTCTTTCAGTGTGCTGAAATTCTGTAATTCATATGATCCTCTAAATTTTGGCGTTAACATTTTTGAATCAGTTACGTTTTCTCCTCTTGCTACTACTACTACTCAAATCAGTATATTCTTCCAGGCGTGTTTATGTGCTCATATGATAAAATATTAATCCGTTTTGTTTTGAGTATTATTTTGTAGATATCGAAAACAGAGTTAGCGTCTTTTAGCTAGAATAAATGTTGCTGCCACGTGGGATTTTCTAACTATCTGCATGTTCGTTCCTGTCATTTATGATGTTATCAAGAGCAATGAAAGAAAACGACCTCCGGTTTAGTTTCTTCAGTATTATGGACAACCCTATCCCATCAACGAGTCAAACTAACACTGAATATCCAGTCTGTGTGGATACCAGTGTTTTCGAAAGGGTCATGAGACCCAGGCACCTGATAACCTGGGACCAAGTCAGAGATGCTACCGATCTATTACGGAAGGTTTGTTATTGAAAATATACCATGTAACATTATTGGATGACTTGAACGCATCACGACGTGCATGAAAGCAAACTGAACATTGAAAAGCTAGAGATCAGCTACCAGAACGTAGTGTATATCTGTTGTTCTGGCCATAAAAGGAAGCCGGATGGTCATGGTCAGAGTGAATAACTTATTATACTAACTTATGTATAGATCAAAGTTTACTGATTGCAAAGCCATGTTTCCTCTGAGGTATGATCTCAATCGGTATATAATAGCTTCATCTAAAATGATCCACAACCATTATTGTGATGAGAAGTAACTGACATATGATGCGTGGTACAGGAAATTAAATGTTGATCAGTTGCTAGTTGTTATAAGGATGACAAAAACTGGGAGTCACCCTGAGCAGATTGTTAAATATGTCGAAGACAATTCTGGAGAGACCATCACCGTTCATTATGTCAATAATTTGAAATATAAAGTTGTCAAACGTAAGTTTTTCCTATAGATCTATGGTTTTTCAGGCTGTGAGAGTTTCAGTTATGTGTTTTCAACCTTACGTAGTGAAAAAGTACTTGTATGCTATGGTGGGGATGCTAACCAAGTGAGGAGAATTCAGTACTATGAGCAAATTGAAATGTATACATGTTTTCCTGAAGCAATTTGCCTCGGTTCGACATGCAACACTAACAGAATGTAAGTGAAAGTGAGAAGGTAAATATTTGTAGCTCAGGTAGACTTCTACCTGGAGTTTGTGCTGATGATGTCGTTCAGAAGAACAATGAAAGCTCTACGACTAAACCATTCAGCTCAGAGAACAAAACTTCATCGAAAAGTAAGTGAAAGTGTTCTGCCTATCGAATGTCTTCAGTTATGAACCCTTTCAGTTGGTTTCTACAGATAACTGTGGGTGCGGAACCCGGATTATGTTTGCCTGAACGAAGGAAGATATGGTGTGGATCATAAATCATGTTAAGTTTATCGAAGTGTCCAAGTCACCCAACTGAGATACGTGCAAAACCGAAGTTCACAAAACAACGGGTTGTCTAAAATAGCGGTTCTTTATTTAATATACAAAATTGAGTTACAAACCTCAACTTGTGAGGTATCTGCAGTGCTTAACGCGTCCTTTTATATGAAATAAAAAGAGCTTCCTGTAACAGTAACAAAAAATAGTTACAACATACGATAGTGCAAAAGACAGCTGATAGTTGTGTCTAAACTTGGTAACAATTTACCAACAAGCAAAATCAGAACCAAGAAAAAACTATATGGAAACCGTTGCGTTTAAAAAAATGCACAAAACTGTGGATAACTGCTACAGCAATCGAGACATAGTAATTATAATGATAAATACAATATATAAGTATATGTAAATATTTCGGGATATTACATGACAAACTTGTGTTACAACGTAAGCGCAGAAATTGCTAAGAATACAACAATTTACTGGATATTATTAAGTAGTATAAAACAATACGCGAAAGAGTCGAAGTGAAGTGAATAAGGATAGGGATGATAAAACAGACAACAACTAATCATAACGAACACTAGTAATACGAAAATATTTTTAATGGATTGTGCAATATCCGTCATATTTACAGTGGAAACAACTCACCGTACAGCCCACATAGTTTTATGTTCATTTCACGTGTGTAGAGCCATGTGTAGAAAGACCCGTAATCCTATATAAAAGCAGTACTTATGTCAACTTGTTCGTGAATAGTGGCAAGCTTTTATCACATTCAATGCATAATTAGTGTGCGTAGGATACGTAGATGGGTCTTTCTACACATGGCTCTGCACACGTGAAATGAACATAAAACTATGTGGGCTGTACGGTGAGTTGTTTCCACTGTATATATGACGAATCCCGCACAATCCATTAAAAATATTTCCGTATTACTAGTGTTCGTCATGAATTTAGATCCAGTATAGAATGATTGAATTGGCCTAGTAAATACCAGGCAAAAAGTGACCAGCAGTCTACCTTCCGAGCATGTTCAACAATCGCTAACATCGCACTCTAGAAGACAAATTTGTCAATCAGTCATTGGCAACGAACAAGAAAAACTATATACAACGCCAAGTTTCGAGGGCCAAACAATCAAAGTAAACAGCGGCAGCACACCTATAGGCAACAGCCAACCAAATTCTAGGTCAACAGGACAAGTAGGAAGTAAATTGTAGAGAAATTCTAATAATATTGCTCACTGAAGTTTATATTAACAATAAAAGCTTTATGATTAAACCATCCAGCTCAGGTAACAAAGCAATCAGAATTCTCATTCTGACCTACAAATACTTCCATTAGGCTTAATTGTTTACCCTAAAAATAGCATAAATGTAAACAAAAAATCCACGCTTCAATTGTCGTCTGAATGTAGTGAATCCACGAACATTATCGTGCATTAGATATCAGACCAAAACGATAAACTTACTGAATTACCTTGTCTGCTATTCTTTTAGGCTTAAAATCAGCCGTATATAATAAGTAATTAAGTATGGTGGGAACTGACTAATGGGATCAGTCAGATATAGTCTACTTTAGTTCTATGATTATTTTAAGACCATCTATCACAAGTAGCTAAATAAATTGTAAAAATTTATATGGTTTGTCAAAAAGGTCACACTATGCAGCGTAAAAGTCAAACTTGAAGCACAAATAATTTTATATCCTATCTCGTAAAAAGCTTTTATTCTCAATTTACAAGGAGCTGGAAATAAAGAAAGTATAAGTAATGATGCAAAATAATTTGTCACTTAGTCAAATATTTGGAAAAAAGTAACGCGAAATCGCAATTTTAATGTTTAAAAAAAGTAACCAGTTTACTATAGATGTTTACGCAAAAGTAAAAACTAATTTTTCAACTATTCATAAATCACATTCATAAGGAAATATAATCCGAAGTAAGCACAAAATATTAACAATGGTGGCGTTTTTCACTTTTCTTCAATCTACATCATGAACCACAAACAAAATTAGGTTGGTTTGGCTAACTAGAAGGTTTGCGCTGCTGAAAACCACAGTTTGACTAAAAAAGGAAAGGTCAAACAATTGAGAATTAATTCAGTTTAAATAACACAAGAATGGTTGATTTTCTGGACAGTGGAGATTAAATCAATATTAAATAAAATTCATAGAAATTACAAACGTACAGAAAATTTCCTTATCTCATTATAACATCCTAATGATGATCAATGTTTGTAAATCAACGTAGTCAAACTGAGAACCTTTACGAACTACACAAAATAACTATGAAACTAGACACCGGAACACGTCAAATCCGGGAACATTCGAGAAGTGATATCATGTATGTAATCACAGTTAATTAGAAATAACTCCGATGTAAGACGGTCGCTAAGGTTGTCGTGTTAGCCATAAACGATAAGCAATATGAGCATATGAGCATTAAGTTATTAAATATGATCTAAATATTCCAGCATACACGCAATCATTTGACTATATATATAGACTGATCTGCAAGGAGTACGCCAGTTTTTGATCTGGTTATAGGTATGTTGATCATTTCCACACACATTACCGAATGTCAGAACACAACTACTTTTATTGCAGATTAACAGTTAGCTTCTTGATATCAGGGGCACCTTCTATTTGCAAGACAGGACTATGCTTTATGATTATTTGTTGAAGGGTGTGCCTGAGAATATCATAAAACCCCTGTAAACAAACACTTCGTGGAAAACGATAGCATATAACTACACTCTTAATCGTCTCATTTCAGCAGTGGGATTAAGTAGGACTGGTAAATCCCACCAATCCTCATAAACTTTGTAATTGATATTCTGGAAAGTTCCGAAGTACGTAGCCACGGATCTCAAACCTGTGATTTGTGTTTCGGTACAGTGACGGTAATTTTACCAGTGCCACCATCTTGAAACTTTGACGTCGATGGCTTGAGAATGTGTAAAGAATATCATCACAGGAGCTTCTACTTCGTGCATTATTCAATAACCCCTGGATTGATCGGAAAAAAAGAGGAGAGGTGGTCAGTTTATGACATGGCTATGTTGTATGGAAAGTAGATGTATGGGACATCGAGAATCTCTAGTCGAGGTTCTAAATATGGTTCGACACAATTCTTGAAACACTATTCGACATGGCTCAAAATAGAAGCCAATGGCAATCCTGCTGCAGTGTTTCTGCATAATCCAAAAAAATGTGATGAATTTTCTAAACTGCGAGTCTCTGTTGGTCGTATTTTTACAGAATTATGTCTTCTTCTATATACTATTCTAGTTCACCTATTTTGTGTTCTGCCTCACTCCCTTTTGAGTGGTTCATGAAATTCCGGCATCTTTATACCCAATTTTAGGTGAATTAAATAAATCAGTCATCTAACTTATTACTAAACGTATATATATATATATATATATATATATATATATATATATATATATATATATATATATATATATATATATATATATATATATATAATCGTTTAGTATCTTGTATAGAGCTGAAACCCATAAAACTTGAAAAACCGTATACCCATCTCATTTAAGTAAGACTTCCAAAAAAAATACAGGAGAGAAGCATTTTCCATACTTTATCCCCGGATCATTTGTGGATACTTTCTAGAATACCAGGTCTATGGTGTCAAGCTCATACCCAAGTAGTAGATAAGAAAGAAACAGTTAAAAAAGATTAAACGAAGTCATCAAGCCGATCAAACAAATAACAGCATAGTATTATGATTTATTATTGTAGTCGTGTTATGATAGTAAACTGTAATATAATAATCCTTCACGACAATCCCGAGACAACTTGAACGCGACCCGATACTGCATAAACAAATAAGGAAACGTACTTGATGAAGATTGGAGAACACCGCACTCCGAAATCTCAAAAAATCATGAATAGAATACTAAGTACGTCACTGGTGAACAAAAACAGAAATGAACCAAAAATGGAGCCTTTGAACTAATTTACTAGTTATTTAAAAGTTTCGTACAACAAACAACTGCTAAAAATCTTGTCCCTGATGTAATTCTGAAACCATTTAACAGGTTAACGGAGCCGTAGTTCAGTGATTAAGGCAACTTAGACACTAAGTCACAGGTCAGAGATCCGTCCAATCTACTTCGACTTGGGCAACCGTGTGGCATAAGCGGACCTCACAATTAGTGTTCCCGGTGAAAAAGTAGAATTAATAGGTACATAACCAACACACCGAGACCTGTTTTAGCCCCTGTACCATATAGTCGGTCTCGATAGAACTTGTCAAAATTCATCGGACTGAGATAAATTTAACCTCATAAAACAAATAAAGATCAGTATACAGATGGAAGGAGATGATGATGTTTAACTATTGATGGCTTACGCTCAATAAATCTAATACAATTTAGAACATATTCATCTGTCGGGTTTTTGTGAATTTACGGTATGATCTGCAACCTAACTGCTTTAGCCGAAGTATTTAAGGCAGATTTTAGACACGTCAAGTATAGGTTAAAAGTTGAGTGCTTAACATATTGAATTACAACACCACTAACTCCAATTACTGGTCAGACAAAGTCAACACATTACATCTAAAACAAGAGGACGATGAGAGAGAAAAAAACAGTGGAATAAACAGCGTATAGTGCGATTAGAGTTATTAAATACGAAATACTGAATAACTGACAACAATGAATCGAAACAAGAAAAAACCTTAGCTCGCCAGTACACTATTTTAAATAAAACTCAGAAGTCGAACTAAGTGGAGTGTCTAATTAGAAAGCGAGATGATAAACAGCTTAAGATGAGAGTATCATACCTACAGTAGCTTTACTAAACATTTGTGAGGGAAGCCGTTTTTCATCTTTATTAAGTTTACTTTTGATGGCTACCAAAAGACAAGAAACAGCAAAAATCGAATTTATAGTTAAACAATTCCACACTAACTCGTTGTTCCTAAAGTACTGCTTCAAAGTGTCACTAAATTTACGACAGTAGGTGATAAATTTTCGTTTTTGATCTTCAAGACATTTCTTTTGTGTTCCTGGTGGTAACGTATCATAAAACGCACCCACAGCAGCTAACAACATCTTTATCGCATCTGCTATTCCTCTAAGTAAATAACTTTTGTTGAACAATTGAATTACTTGATGACTTCTATAAATGCTCTGCGGTCGATAATTTCATCAGGTATGCTACTAAGAATAGTTTTCAGGGTCTTAGCCGTAAGTTCCAACTCCAAAACTCTAGGATTTCTTGACGTCCTTGGATTATCTGAAATTACATGCAATCTAAAAAAACATCAAAGGCAATACCACACTCTTGAAGAGCAGCAATCCGTAAACACGTTTCAGTCACGTCGATTTCACTATCGACTCCCATCCGCTGAAGCAAGCCAATCATGAAATCTTTACTGAAACCAGGATACCGCTTCTCTACCTAATATAGGCACGAATTTGTATCCTAATTCAAACTTACCTTATAGAAAGCTTCCTTTAGTCGCTGAGTTAAAGCGTAATTCTCTTTTTCCATCTTAATAAAATCTATACTTCGTATGATAAAGACATACTTTGGCAAATGTAGGTTCGAAAATAACTTGTTTTGCTCGAGAAGCATTGCCGACTCTGTTAGTAGGAGCCACTGCAGCCGGCCACCTACTTCCAGCCATATTCCTGTAAGAAAGTGCACAAGAGTAAGTGCTGAGTAAGGTACAAAATTCTTTAGAAACCAGTAAATGCTTGAAACAAGTATATTATACCCTAAGGACAAAGATAGAAAGATCCCCACTTAGTATCCCATACAAAAAAATAGATCTAAATTCTCAACCCCTACTGTGTATGGTAAGCCTTAGAATTCCGGAATTGCACGGGTATTTATCCTCAATACTTTTTTCAAGATGTTCGAGTCAATTAAACAGGGCCTTGGAGCATGAAAAATCTCCAAGTCTGGATCTCACTACGGCTGTACATACCATGGCAAGCATATTTGTATCCAACTTGATAAATGTTCGTCTTGATGCTCACATGGTTCTCAACCCTTCAGACACAACTGCACGGCAGTATGGTGCGGTTCGAAGATTGCGACCCACTATTACTGCCAGATGGCTATGATACAGGACTAAGGACACTGATGTTTTCCCCATGTTTCGCTATTTACGTATGTGTCCAATGTGAATGTAGAAATATAACTGTATTGATAGGGCATTAACCACAATTTAAACCAGCTTGCCAAACGTCTAGATCGGCCAGAAATCCACAAGCAACGGTACTCTCAGTTACTTTTCGCCACATGTTGACATCAGAGTAAAGTGGCATCAGAGACCTTACAATACGTGGGAATTTATTTACATGGGGTATGAAAAATAAGAGACTTGGAACGGAGCCAGGAGTGTAACGTATTCGGTCCTGATTATTTTGTCTAAACTCCACATACACAAGGAGTTACACTGATGCTGTCTAAACAAGCACAAAAGGCACTTATAGGATGGGAATCTCATGGATCAAGGATCATCAAAGCCTCCTTCAAAACAAAGAAAGAGGGCATTTCAATGAACATCATCCAATGCTATGCGCCTACCAACGATTACAATGAAGACGCTAAAGATCAATTCTACAATAGGCTGGCGTAAGTCCACAATGAGTGACCGATTCGGCGACAGTTTCCGGGGCTAGTCCTATATTGACAGGAGGCTCGTGAGTAGAAATAGTCACGAAGTCTTCACTCATGGCTTCTACTCTATCCTGGATTCGCTCTATCAACTAGGATGAACTCTCGTAATTAAATTGGGAATCCATGGGTTCCGTCCTTGTTCTATGATTGATATATAAGGACAGTCGCTTTAACTTCTTAGCTGCAGTTTGTGAAAAGTGATTTTCGTATATTGTTTTTGCACTTTTTCTGGATCGACTTGCAGCGTTCTATTGCATTTACTTTTCCAAGATGTTGCAACGTTTACTTTCTCTTTTCTCAATAGAAGTTGAATGTTCCAGTTTATCCGGGGATGGAACTGCCTTTTCTTTACCGGAACTTTCCAGGGGCATAAATAGTTTAACTGCTTAGCTGTATAACTGGCAGAAGTGGCTCCGTGACTTCTACTGGCACTTCTGTGCATATTTTCTCATTTAAGGCCACAGAGCTGATCACTTTTACGTCTGCCTTCCATATATTAAGATGGATCGCGGGGTTGGATAACAACAATCAACTTGAATATGACGACCCTAAGATTACTCCTGACTACGCCAGGAGCCCCTCTGGGGATACCGCCAGCCCCAAGCCCGGATAAAGGAGGGCTGGGCACGGGATTAGCGACCCCATCCCGTAGAAAACTAACTCGCTAAAAAAGGTAACCAGGAAAAATTATTCAGATAATTTAAACTCTGCCCTGGGAGGTCTTCATTTAAAAGAGTTATGACACCTCATGGTGAGAGCTGAGTTCCTTCGGAAGTCACGAGGCCGATGCCCCTTCTGACAACCAGAGCAACCATTTATTTAGGTACATGGAATGTTCGTACAATGTGGGACACCGGGAGAGCTTTACAAATTGCTGCAGAAATGAGAAGATAACACCTAGAGATGCTTGGGATCAATGAAACACATTGGACACAAGTTGGACAACAACGACTAGCTTCAGGGGAGCTTCTGTTATACTCCAGCCATGAAGAAGAAAATGATCCACATACACAAGGAGTTACACTGATGCTGTCTAAACAAGCACAAAAGGCACTTATAGGATGGGAATCTCATGGACCAAGGATCATCAAAGCCTCCTTCAAAACAAAGAAAGAGGGCATGACAATAAACGTCATCCAATGCTATGCGCCTACCAACGACTACAATGAAGACGTTAAAGATCAATTCTACAATAGGCTGCAGTCAATTATCAAGAAGTGCCCAACAAAGGACCTGACCATTCTGATGGGAGATTTCAATGCCAAGGTTGGAACGGACAACACCGGATATGAAGACATCATGGGACAACACGGACTGACTGGGAGAAAGGAACGAAAATGGTGAGAGATTTGCAAACCTATGTGCCTTCAATAAACTGGTCATAGGCGGCACCATATTCCCACATAAACGCATACACAAAACCACATGGACCTCACCGGATCACACCACGCAAAACCAAATCGACCATATTTGCATCAACAAAACGTTCAGGAGGACTATAGAGGACGTGAGAACCAAGAGAGGAGCTGATATAGCATCAGATCATCACTTGCTGGTCGCTAAGATGAAATTGAAACTCAAGAAGCACTGGACAATGGGGCGGACAATATCACAAAATTTCAATACGGCCTTTCTTCAGGATACTAACAAACTCAACGAATTCAAGATAGTCCTCAGCAATAAGTTCCAGACCTTTCATGATCTACTCAATGGAGAAGAAACTACTGTGGAGAGCAACTGGAAGAGGATCAAAGAGGCAATCACTTCAACATGTCATGAGGTCCTGGGTCACAAGAAGCACCATCACAAGGAATGGATCACTGTTGATACACTGGATAAGATTCAAGAAAGGAGGAACAAGAAAGCAGCAATCAATATCAGTCGAACAAGAGCAGAAAAAGCCAAGGCACAAGCTGAATACACAAAAGTAAACAAACAAGTGAAGAGGAGCATCAGAACCGACAAAAGTTAATATGTGGAGGATTTAGCAACGACGGCGGAAAAGACTTCAAGAGTAGGAAACATGAGACAATTGTATGACACAACAAAGAAACTCGCTGGAAATTACCGTAAAGCAGAACGACCAGTGAAAACAAGGAAGGCAAGGTAATCACCAACATTGAAGAGCAACAAAACAGGTGGGTAGAACACTTCAAAGAACTCTTGAATCGACCAGCTCCACTGAAACCACCGAATATCGAAGCAGCACCCACGGACCTCCCAATCAATGTTGGCCCACCAACAATTGAAGAAATCAGCATGGCCATCAGACAAATCAAAAGCGGCACAGAAGCAGGATCAGACAACATTCCAGCAGAGGCACTGAAAGCAGATGTAGCAGTAACTGCAAGGATATTGCACATTCACTTCAGCAAGATTTGGGATGAAGAACAAGCGCTAACAGACTGGAGAGAAGGATACCTGATCAAGATACCAAAGAAAGGCGACCTCAGAAAGTGATGAACTACAGGGGCATCTCTCAATACCAGGAAAAGTCTTCAAATCGGTGCTGTTAAACAGAATGAAAGACTCCGTAGACACCCAACGTCGAGGCCAACAGGCCGGATTCCGTAAGGATCAATAGTGTACAGACAAAATCGCAACACTACGGATCATTGTGGAACAATCAATCGAATGAAATTCATCACTCTACATCAAATTCATTGACTACGAAAAAGCATTTGATAGCTTGGACAGGACAACACTATGGAGGCTTCTATGACATTACGGCATACCTGAGGAGATAGTCAATATCAGACGGAATTCCTATGATGGATTAAACTACAAAATCGTGCATAGAGGACAAGTGACAAACTCGTTAGAGGTAAAAACCGGTGTCAGGCAAGGTTGCTTACTATCACCCTTTCTCTTTCTCCTGGTGATCGACTGGATCATGAAGACGTCAACATCTGGGGAGAAGCATGGGATACAGTGGACAGCTAGGATGCAGATGGACGATCTAGACTTCGCAAACAATCTGGCTCTTCTATCGCACACACAACAACAAATGCGAGAGAAGACAACCAGTGTAGCAGCAGCCTCAGCAGCAGTAGGTCTCAACATACACAAAGGGAAAAGCAAGATTCTCTGATACAACACAACATGCACCAACCACATCACACTTGACAGAGAAGATTTGGAAGATGTAAAAACCTCTACATATTTAGGCAGCATCATTGATGAACACGGTGGGTCTGATGCAGATGTGAAGGTGCGAATCGGAAAAGCAAGAGCAGCATATTTACAACTGAACAACATCTGGAACTCAAAACAACTGTCAACCAACACCAAGGTCGGAATTTTCAATACAAATGTCAAGACAGTTCCACTGTATGGGGCGGAAACCTGGAGAACTACGAAAGTCATCATACAGAAAATACAAGTGTTTATTGACAGCTGTCTACGCAAAATATTTGGGATTCGTTGGCCAAACATTATCAGCAACAACCTACTATGGGAGAGAACAAACCAGAAACCAGTGGAGGAAGAAATCAGGAAGAAGCGATGGAAGTGAATAGGACACAGATTGAGGAAAGCACCCAACTGCGTCACAAGGCAAGCCCTCACATGGAATCCTCATGGCCGAAGGAGAAGAGGAAGATCAAAGAACACATTACGCCGAGAAATGGAGACAGACATGAGAAAAATGAACAAGAGTTGGATGGAATTAGAAAGGTAGGCCCATGACCAGATGGGTTGGAGAATGCTGGTCGGCGGCCTATGCTCCATTGGGAGTAACAGGCGTAAGTAAAGTAAGTAAGTAATCATTACTTCTCCCTATGAGTGAAGAGTACTTGATTAGAATTATCATTATGAGTGGTGATTAAGTGTAGGATAGATGAGCGCCATGTATGTCATCTAGTGAGATCCATAATGTACTGTAATAAAGAGAGCGAGATTTTGATTTCTAGAAGATTTTAGTTAGACGGCTTTTTGATGAACCTGACTCTAAGCTCACTTTAAAAAGGTTACTGCTTATACTCTTACTACCTCTACCACTACGGGATTTGAATGAACATCTACATCTCTGTGCTAATGTGGTATGGCAACTCGAAATGATGTACGTACGTAAGAAGCTCTACGTTGTTACTAACTGACTGACTTTATAAAAGGTACATCGAAGTCACCTATTATGAATGTACTGCACTGGTTTGACCAGGACTGTAGTTTGTTTGAGTCAGTCAGTCAGCTACAACGTGGGACCAGGCACATAAATGCATCGGTCCAGGTTGCCATACCGCAGTAGCACAGCAAGATGAACACCAAATTCATAGTAGTTAATTCAATGGTAATAATACATAAAAGAAAGATTGCATATAAGGATGTAGTACAGGAGGAAAGAATTAGTTCGTAGAAAGAAAGATATTAAGTGATTTTAATGTTACTTTAAGGGAAGACATAAAGTGTAAACACCTACGCCATTGTGATCGATTCTAAGTCATGTCAACCACAGTCTCCAACCATTAGTTACGATAGTCACGTGGACCCCGACCAAGTAGTCTGCATCTACCAACATGGCTCAGACTAGAAGTTAGTGTCTTCAAGCACTGATGCCACGTTTTGGTTTGGACGCCCCTAACTTTCTTCCAACCATCCCCAACACCGGTTAGCATTGCACGCCGTGGTAATCGGTGTTCAGGCATATGTAACACGTGACCCAACCATTTCAGTCGATGAAGATTCATAACCTCATCAACTTATTTACCATCATTCCCTAATATCCTGCGTCTAACCTCACTATTACTTACCCGGTGATCCCAGCAATATTTCTAAGGCATCTGTGGTCAAATACTAGTAGCTTACGAGTGTCTTCTACCCTTAATGGCCATGTTTCGCTGCCGTAAATTAAAACAGAACGGACTGCCGCGCAGTATACTCGTCCTTTTATAGATAGACGGATATCTCGCCTTCGCCATAGGTGACGCAAGTTGGCAAAAGCCAATCGAGCTTTTCGAATCCGTGCTGAGATTTCGACCGATACCAACCCATTAGGGCTGATCAGACTTCCAAGATAAGTGAAGTTGTCAACGCGTTCGACTACTTCACTCCCTATCCTTAGTTCAGGTGTTAATGCAGACCAGTCCTGAAGCAACAACTTGCATTTAGAGGGAGAGAAGCGCATTCCAAACATTCTGGCATTGTTGCTCAGTGCTACCAGAAGACTCTGCATTTTGTCAGCGTCTTCACCAAACAGGACTATGTCATCTGCGTATTCTAAGTCGATAAGTGGACCTCCTGGTAGGAGATCAATACCCGAGAACTCTGTCGACGAGAAAGTTATTCCCATCAGTAGGTCTATGATGAAGTTAAACAAAAATGGAGACAGTGGACAGCCTTGACGGACACCGCTTGATGTTACAAAAGCAGATGACAGTTCGCCATAAGCTCTGACTCGATTAGTAGTGTTCGAGTAAAGAGCCTATACAAGGTTTATGTACTTCTGAGGTACGCCTTTCAATAACAGACACTGCGACAGAATATCGCGGTCTACTGTGTCAAATGCTGCTTTTAATTCAAAAAAGACCATTATTGTCGGACGCCGATAAGTATGCATGTGTTCTAGAACCTGACGAATGATGAATATGTGGTCGGTGCAGCCACGACCAGGTCTGGAGCCAGCTTGATTCTCTCGTGTTTGCAGTTCACGAGTCTTAGCTAGGCATCCGATAATTATCGAGACTAGTATTTTAGATACTGTATTAGTTAAACTAATCCCTCTATAGTTATCACAGGATGATTTTGACCCTTTCGTATATATTGGGAAGATAAGTGATTGTGACCAGTCAGATGGGATAACGTCCAACTCCCAGATCTTAGCTAATATATTAGTCAACCTAATTCAGAGGAAATAATCTAATATACATTAAGGGCTACGGTAAACTACAACTAGTCTTACTCTTTACATCCAAGCCGGCACTGCACCAACTCAAATGTTCGTGATTTATGTACCACTGTCTTGATATCTCGTATGGTTACAGTGCTCTTTAAGCACTGAATAACGCTACCTCTACAGCTCATTCTGTCGATCCTTTAGAGTGAGAAACTAAATGACTGAATTTTGCTATTATTTACTTCTGACGTTAGCAAATGACAATAAATTCCAAGTTTCCTATGCTCACCGTATTTGTAATCTCCATAAGCGGATATAGTGAGTTCACTGTATTTGTTATGGCATCATTTGTTGCAGTTATCACATCGTATTCCAACCACGACCAGAAAGAAATATACCCGTCTGCCACAATGCCACTTAAGAAGCGGACACAAAACAATTATTGTACAAACCAAAACGATTTTGGAAATCTTGACATTAAAAAGTAATTAGAGATGCAATAAAGGGACCAACACTGAACACCAAGAAACTTATGAACTAGTCACAAAAGAAGTGCGACAAGACTCACATGTGAACCATTTGATCCAGGAAGTGTGAAGCACTATAAATGATTGAAATCAACTCTTCGTTATATGACTCTAAGTAATATGCTCTGATACCTTATTGTACACAAAAGTATGATGAGTTGAACCAACTAAGCGCATAAAAAACAAACGGCATGCTTGACCACATGACACAAAACCTAGGTGTTTTTGACCTGACAGCTACATGAAGTAAGCAAGTTCTGATGAAAAGTCTACTTGCCAAACGCTGTCTCAACTGATGTTTGTGAGCCTAGGAATATATGTGCATCACATAATTTCGGAACGAAGAAAACTGAAGTTTTCATAGGTGTGATGAACACCTCTATAACAACCAATAAAGGCTACTTTGGAAACTGCTATGGACGTAACTTTCGTGTGTATCACCAGCATGGTTGCAAAGCATAATTTTATTCCTAATGACCTGAGTTAAAATCACCTCAAAACTAACGCATTTCTGTTTATTAACATAATCTACTAAAGTTCTGGTCGTAAAAATTTGGGGGTGGAGGGGTTTTAGTCGGCGCATGTTCGCCATAATGTCAAAAGTTAGCACCAAAACCACCGTTTACTAACCCTGTATCGTTAATATTAATCGCTCCCGCTAATCGACAATTCTTCAATCCTTCAATACTTGTAAAGCAAACATAGCTGACAGAAATTTTCCGATGAAAATCTACGATAATGGCTTTGCTCGTTTGAAAATGTGTGGCGCAAATCATTCTCTTAAGCTTGAAGAGATCTGTAAGGATAATAAATATACCAGGACCGGTGAGAGTATATAAACGTAAATAAATCCCCAAAATCAATCACTCTATTAGTCTCCGATATTCGTTGCCGACCGCTTTAGTTTTACCGGGCTCATTTAGCTGAAGGCGCTCAGTCATGCATCAGCACCATATCGCGAGTGGGAACGCCGTGCTCAACAACCCCTTCAATCGCTAGCCAGATTAGATCAGACGGTCCTCGATATATTGATAGTCTATCAAATATATCTTTGAACCTCCTCGCTTCTGTCTTTTGACTTCAATTGTTTGTTAGGATTCGTAGTAGGTATTACTAATTAGAGCGTCGTCAAACTTCAAATACCTATGGCATCTTCGTTGGCGAGTCCGACGTAATGTGGCACACCAAATTGCAAACTGTGAGTCTGTTTCTTTTTGGAATTATGTATATTATTGCCTTGTATTAACTTTTTATATATTGTGATATTTTTTCCCGTGTTATTCATGCATTTTTTTCACTCGTTCATTCTCGTACTTCATATTTCACCATGACTGAACAGACACCCATGAAACTTAAGTTGAAGACTATGTCCTCAACTCCAGTTCAACTAATGCCTTTGGAGATCCCACAGGTATTCGGAGTTTGACAACGCTTCAACCAGTAACACCTTCTAATATGAATCCTACCAACCAAGTGAAGTCAAAAGATATAAGCGAGGAGGTTCAAAGATATATTTGATAGACTATCAACATATCGAGGATCGTCTGATCTAATATGGATAGCGATTACAGGGGTTGTTGAGCAAGGCGTCCCCACTCGCGATCTCGTGCTGGTGCATGACCGCGAGTCTGTAGTGGCGGCAACCGTAGCCAGCGAACATAGCCGTCTGTTGTACGTCACAGATGTGACAACGAGAGTTCGCTACTTCGTCGATACCGGTGCAGAAGTTAGTGTTCTTCCTGCGAATTCTAGCGACCGGCTTCACGAATCGGCTTTAAACTTATAGGAGGCAATCGGAAAGCCTATTTCCACATATGGTAGAAGGTGCGTTTACCCTAACATGGGTTTACGCAAACCCATACACTGGATATTCGTTATTGCAGATGTTTCTATGTCATGCATTGGTATAGACCTTCTACAACACCATAATCTCCTCATCGATACGCGCAAATGGAGGCTAGTAGACGGAAACACTAATTTATCTGTCTGAGTAACTTCTTTCTCTGGTTGCGGATTATTTCCAGTTATAATTAAGCACATGACAGACCTGTAGTGGCATTGGACCATAACCACACAATCCTCAAAGCTGAAAACGAAACTACTCGGAAAATAGATATTCAATATTTAACACGGAGAAATACCTAACAATGGAGAAGGCGCGAACAATGAATGGAATGGACTGGAGTTGATCGAGTGGCATGGCTCGGCCATGCAGGCGTGGTCTCTGCTGAATGTTACCTTATATCTTCTATTCATATTAAATATATTGTTCTTTCTCTAGCCTAACCTTGTTCTACATCATGCATTGGTAATTGATACGATACAGTGAGTTGGTGTAGTCGATGGTGTGACTTCTACGTAAGATCTTATAGATTAGGCAGTTATATCATGACAAATCTACAAGTTTAGGATTAGGTCTATTATTAGAGCAATACTAATATCATAGTGGACCTTAATTCTACAGACCCGTTCTACCTACCACTACTCGTTAATTATTCTGGGATATACCAAACTTAACCGAAATTGCCGTGTGTAACCAGCAACGTTAGATATCACATCACGACTACAGTACCACCTGTATTCTCTAAAGCTCGACGATTAGCCCCCGAAAAGCTAAGGTTGAAGAAAAACGAGTTCGACCTCATGATAGACTTAGGTATCGTAAGACCGTCAAACAGCCCATGGGCATCTCCGTTGCACATGGTCCCTAAAAAGAACAGCAACGATTGACGTTCAACTGGTGACTATCGGCGATTGAATGCGAAAACCACTCCCGATCATTATCCGTTGCCTCATATTCACCATTTGACAGCTACCTTGAAAGGTACAACTGTCTTTTCGAAAATCGACTTGGTTAAAGCACAAAACCAAATCTCTATGGCTACTGACGATATTCCGAAAACAGCTATCATAACTCCCTTCGGACTCTACGAATTTTCGCGAATGCCTTTCGGTCTAAGAAACGCTGCACAAACTTTCCATAAGTTCATAGACGACGTTTTTCGAGTTCTCAACTTCGTACATGCGTGTGTTGATGACTGCCTAATCGCAAATCCGGACAGAGAATCACATCTCAAGCATCTCGATCTTGTTTTCGAACGACTACAAAACCACGGCATTACTGTAGACATTCAGAAATGCCAAATCGGAACTGACTCATTAGACTTCCCAAATTCGCACTCGATGCGCAAGGCATCCGACCCCTTAGAACCAAAATGGCTTCTATTCTGGATTACCCAGAACCGACTACCATCAAGCGATTACACACGTTTAACGGCCTTTTAAGTTTCTATAGACGGTTCATACCGAAACGCGCGTCACTTATGAAACTGCTAACCAACCAACTTCATGGAAATGCGAAATCCATTAATTTGGACGACACCGCACTAAAAGCATTCTCCACAGTTAAGGAACTGATTGCTAAAGCAACAATGCTCGCACATCAGGACACCGAAGCACCCATTAGTATCGCAGTAGACGCATCCGACTCGGCAATCGGAGGAGTCTTACAACAATGGGTTAACAACTCCTGGCAACCCTTGGCATTTTTCTCTAGACGGTTGCTAGACACCGAATCGAGGTATAGCACTTTCAGTAGGGAAGTTCTAGCTATGTATTGTGCTGTACAGCACTTTCAACACTCTGTAGAAGGCTGAGAATTTACTTTTTGCCGAACATAAACCTCTTACCTTCTCTTTAAGTTCGTATTCAGACAAGTACTCCCATCGAGAGTCTCAACAACTAGTATAAATTTCACGGGTTACTTCAGATACACAACACATTTCTTGGGCAAACAATATAGCGGCAGGCGCTCTGTCTCGTATGACTTCCTGGAACAGTGTCCAAAAAATCGACCATCTTAAACTCGCTCAGCTTCAAAAAGAAGACACCGATCTTCAGCACGAGTTATCGTCAACAACACTTAAGCTGTCCATTAAACAGATGGGAACAGGTAAGGAAACCTTACAACGCAACACATCTACAGGTAGGGATCGCCAAACCGTGCCGAAAGATTATCGACACAATGTCTTCGATACGTTGCACAACATTTCTCATCCAGGTGTCCATGAGACTATCAAGCTTATGGCAAAACGGTTTTGCTGGCCTGGTATGAATAAGGACGTGAGGGAGTAGGCACACTCCTGTGTAGGCTTCCAGTAATCCAAGGTGATTAGACACGAAAAATGTCCCTTAGGCTCTTTCAAAACTCCCGACTCCCGTCTCAACCATGTTCATCTGGATTTGGTAGGACCTTTACCAGATTCAAATGGATACTCTTATCTCTTAACCTGCGTAGACCATTTCACGCGATGGCCAGAAGCAGTACCTATAAAGGACACCACTTCTAAAACAATGACCCGCGTCTTCGTCGAACAGTGCGTATCAAATTACAGTTGTCCTTCAACTATCATCGAAACCGTGAACGCCATTTTGAATCTAGACTTTCCCGTTGTCTGACTTCACTATTAAGCATAACATGATTCCGAACGACTACCTACCACCCACAAGCAAACGGGTTGGTAGAACGCTTTCACCGACTGCCTAAAGCTTCACATTCAACTACAAACGTTTGATAGTGGACCGACGCTCTTCCACTCGTCATACTTGGCGATGCACTAAAAGCTGACATTGGATGCACCGCAGTGAAAATCAATTACGAAACGACACTCCGGCTTCCAGAAGAATTTGTGGATCCCTCATCTTCTTCGATGAATATAGATCTAAACTCCTAAACGAGCAGGCTTAAAAACGCAATGCGTTCAGTTAAACCTGTTTCCACTCGGCCTCAATCAACTGATGTTTTCGTTCAATCTGACCTACGATATAGTGCACATATTTTGTACTTCACGTCTCACTTCGATGACCACTCAAAGCGACATACGAAGGACCATTCAAAGTTCTTCAGCTCGAACCCAAGTATTATATAATCGATAAGAACCGAACCAACGATAGCATTAGTATCGATCGTCTCAAAGCCGCGTATTTAGATGCAAACCCTG